AGTTCAAGGGCAGAGCAAGTCCCCAGTATATTAATCTTGTCCAGGAATTTCAGGGACAGTATAGGTTCCTAGTATCTTGTTCTTGTCCAGGAAATTCAGGGGCAGAATAGGTCCCTGTTATCTTGTTCTTGGCCAGGAAGTTCAAGGGCAGAGCAAGTCCCCAGTATATTAATCTTGTCCAGGAATTTCAGGGACATTATAGGTTCCTAGTATCTTGTTCTTGTCCAGGAAATTCAGGGGCAGTATAGGTTCCCAGTATCTTGTTCTTGGCCAGGAAATTCAGGGGCAGTATAGGTTCCCAGTATCTTGTTCTTGGCCAGGAAATTCAGGGGCAGTATAGGTTCCTAGTATCTTGTTCTTGTCCAGGAAATTCAGGGGCAGTATAGGTCCCCAGTATCTTGTTCTTGTCCAGGAAATTCAGGGGCAGTATAGGTTCCCAGTATCTTGTTCTTGTCCAGGAAATTCAGGGGCAGTATAGGTTTCCAGTATCTTGTTCTTGTCCAGGAAATTCAGGGGCAGTATAGGTTCCCAGTATCTTGTTCTTGTCCAGGAAATTCAGGGACAGTATAGGTTCCTAGTATCTTGTTCTTGTCCAGGAAATTCAGGGACAGTATAGGTGTCTTGTCCAGGAAGTGTACTTTAATATTGGATGGTCCAGATGGCTGCTCAGTCTGGACCACTCTTTCAATCTATGTTTGTATCAAAGAGGAAGTTATACCTTTTGATAAGAATGCTTGAAGGTGTAGTTATCATGAAGACATAACATGTTTGTTTTATCAGTTTCCAACATGGGTTTACTTGTGCCAAAACCAGTTATGTCAAACTGGTTTCCTTCTACCTGAGGCAACTATTTAGGAACTGGTTGTGTCACACATATATCTCTTTCTGGAACAAGTAGTTTCAAATTGTTTTACCTTTTCTGGAACAGGTTGATACCTGTTTTGTAGTAAGTTTCTGAAATGATTTTTAGAATTCTAAAACGGCATTGTCTCATTGAAGCAACCCATATATTTTCAACAACTGATTGGACTATTTTTGTTTTATAACAACCAACTCCATGGAAGGTTGGTGGTTCGACCTCCTGGCGATGTCATACCAAACATCATGAAAAGATGGTACTTGTTGTTGCGCTGCCTGGCGCTCGGCATTATGAAGGGGATAGAGCAAGGACTGGTGGACTAGGAGTTGGTATGCTGTCGGGGTAGGATATCCATGTTCAAACTCGGATGTGGTATCTCAGTGGGTGAGCAATATAAATCCTTGCACGCACACGCTATACACCTCCTTACCTCTGTTTTGCTAAATTGATGTGGTGCGTCAGGAAATCGTGCAATGTTATAAAACACTAAGGAAACGCAATGCCAATTTTATAGAAATAGACATGATGTTATTCTTCCTTGATTTTCTGTAGCAAATTGTCATCATGATTTGACTGAGGCACAAATAGCAGAGAGGACAGTTAGTATTGATCACCTGCCACTATGGTTCCCTAGAGACGACAAACACATGGCTGCACATTGTGGTGTCATGCCAGTCAAAAATATGAACATATCAAACTCTTCAGAATTAGTTTTTACTCCAAAAATTTATAAACAGCTATAGTATATAGATATTGAAGGAAACAAAATTTCAAATTATAGATTTAAAATTCAGATTTGAGGCAAATGAGTACTTATACTACACCTTTGACATTAATGTTTGTTTGTTTGTTTGATGACATGCTGTTTGGTGACTGCAATACTGTTCAAAGTACCGTGCACTGTGATATAGCTTGAATATTGCTGAAAGCAGCAGTGAAACTCAATCACTCACTCACTTTGTAGTTTGCCAGCTACAAATAACAGAGTGATTCAAACTGGTAGGGCTCTTTGAGATGTATGGCATTGTTGGACCAACAGAACTAGTGAGTGAGTGAGTATGGTTTTACGCCGCTTTTAGCAATATTCTAGCAAAATCACAGCGGGAGACACAGAACTAGATACATTTTTAAAAATAATTCCATTTATCCCATGATGAGTCTATCATAACTGGGTTATGTGTGATCAAATGATATGTTGTTGAGTATAACCTTCCATGGAAGTCTGATCAAATTGATTTGGTTATGAAAGTAGTTCTCACATGACAATTCCACCATGTAAACAATGTTCATCAATTTGTCTTGTGTGACAGAAGAAAGCTTTGACATTATAGGAAAACAATAAGTATGGGTCATTATAGTAAGAAACTGATGTATTTCAATCGGAAACCCTGGATAGTAGGGACAGAAAGAGATGGGAAAGTTGTTGCTGAAATTAATTTCCTGATTATGTCCAGTTAATATACCAAGTACTGTCCTAACCTTTATTGGAAAGTCGGAGGACTGTCATAAAATATCTTTGACGTATGATAGTGTAGGAAGAAGTAAATGTCACTAATCAACTCCAGAGAGTCATATGCTACTAAATATAATGCTTATTGGTTGTCCAACTTTCTCTGAATCTAACAGGCGTGGGGTAGCCTCGTGGTTAAAGGATTAGCTGGAATTTTCCCAAAAGCGATGCAAACAATACTCACTCTAAAACAAGTTTTAAAAGATCTTCAAAGCCTTTCATGAATTTGTGACTAGTTATTAGGACAAAATCATCAGGTGAAAGTTTGTGATTGGTTCAGTAGAAGATTAGGATTGATTAGCTTGTTGTGGGTTTGAATCCCATTATCACCCGGATGAGAACCTTTGGGTTACCAGCACCAAACCTGCTGTGCTTATTTTTTTCTTTGAAAAACTTCTACAATCTGCATCACAATTTTCCCCCCACATTTGAAGGTCCATGGGTGGGCCAGTCATCAAGCCGAAGACTTACTAACTGCCTGAAGCATCCACCTGGCCAGTTCTTCCCCACCCCTGGACAGACTTCCCCTCTGGAATTGAGGTGGGGAAGGTTCAGCCTAGGCCAGATCTTCCCCTCTCTTCGTTCGAACCTAGAACAGCTCTGTCTGGTCCTAGGCCAGATCTTCCCCTCTCTTCGTTCCAACCTAGAACAGCTCCGTCTGGTCCTAGGCCAGATCTTCCCCTCTCTTTGTTCCAACCTAGAACAGCTCCGTCTGGTCCTAGGCCAGATCTTCCCCTCTCTTTGCTCCAACCTAGAACAGCTCCGTCTGGTCCTAGGCCAGATCTTCCCCTCTCTTTGTTCCAACCTAGAACAGCTCTGTCTGGTCCTAGGCCAGATCTTCCCCTCTCTTTGTTCCAACCTAGAACACCTCCGTCTGGTCCTAGGCCAGATCTTCCCCTCTCTTTGCTCCAACCTAGAACAGCTCCGTCTGGTCCTAGGCCAGATCTTCCCCTCTCTTCGTTCCAACCTAGAACACCTCCGTCTGGTCCTAGGCCAGATCTTCCCCTCTCTTCGTTCCAACCTAGAACACCTCCGTCTGGTCCTAGGCCAGATCTTCCCCTCTCTTCGTTCCAACCTAGAACAGCTCTGTCTGAAATATAGTTTAACACATATAATATGCAAGTATCTGAAGTGTTAAATGCAGTGGTTATGCTAAGAAATACTCATACTATGCTGTTTTCATAGACTAAAATTCTCAGGCTATTGTTGTATTATAAGGTATATTATATCAAAACTACATAATTTGTCAAATATGATGTCTGACATCTCGATATAAAAATCTTCAGGTTCAGGTTCTGAAGGGGGTCCCTAGCTATTTGTAACATTATCAATGGGAAGATTTAGCCGAGGTAATGTACAACATGAGGGAAAGATCTGACATAATAATTCAGTTTGGTATCATTACATTCATTATTCACTAGATCAACTTCTTCATTTTTTTAAATTAAATATTTTTCTTTGCTAAAAAAAACACTCACTCACTCACTCCTTATAATAGATCTTCCCTCCAAGTCACCTCATCATTGGAAATCAATAAGGTTAACTTGCTTTTGATACTTTGTCAAGGATTTGAAATTTAAAGGAGCTGAAAATTATTCTTGGAAAATATTTTTCCAAAATAAAAACAGCTCTTTAAAGAAGTTAATGGACAAATTTGACTGAATTGATGAGAACTTAAAATCTTATCCATTTAACCTTGAAGGAAGTAATGTGTAGTTCTCAACATGTTTCCTTGTAATCGAAAACAAGTCCAGGGTTTGCCATTAAATATGATTTATATTACTTAATCATTAAATATTACTAATACTTAATATTGCCAAATATTATTGAATATTACTACATATACTAAATACGGCCAAATATTACTAAACATTGCTAGATATATCCCCAATTGTTAAATATTGCCAAATATGCCTAAATATGGCCAAATATTACTTAATGGTATTAAATTTACATATGGTGTAAAATATTCCAGTTTACATTTATGACATTGCTTGTTGTTGCCTGTAGTGTATAGAGCACTGTGTAGAGCATATTGTTTTTTAAAACAAATCTTATGACTGCATGGGTTTTTCAAACTTTTGAGTCAGTCTAATGTAGTTGTGTGAACTTTACAACATGTATCATAATCATTTTTGGTTGTCTGCGAAAAAGATTTTCCAAATGTTATGAGAAAATATGAGTCATCATTTATGTGTAATATAAAGAACAATATGTAACAAATAGCAAAATATAATTAGATCAATTTATTAGTCAGTTTGTTGGGAAAATACAAACCATTTTGTACTTGATAAGTTTAAGAATTCTCTTATAATGAAAGCCTTACGTATTTAGCAATTATACATAAACTGGTCACCATTTAAGGAAATTCAACAAAATGACAAGTCTTATCTTAGAATTGTTTGGGATAAAATCTTTTTTCCTCATTTCTGCAAGAACTAAACTGAGCATAATATAACAGCTGAAGCCATGAATGATGTCAGTAGTGTTTACAGTGTCCCTGTGCCTTTTACACACTGAAGTCCATGTCCCAGTTATTTGCACTCAACCAACCCACTTTGCTGGGGGGAAGGAACAGCCAAGGGGAGGCAACTCCGACAGGAGCTGATAACATGTGTATCAGTAGGCCAGAGAGTTTGTGGTGATCATATTCCGTGTGTGTCTTCTGAAAGTGTTGTACCGCGACAACCTGGAGCATTTGTCACAGGAGGTTGTGAGCATCTAGTTAAGGAAGTTGTGTTGTGAATGATCAGCTCCTGTTCCACGGAGCCTGTGTAGTTCTCAGAGCCTCAGTTTGAGAAATCGATGGTGGACACAGCTATCATGCGGTGCGTTGATCAATAAGACTCTTGTGTCTATTGTCCCCAGACTAGCGAAGTCAGTGAAGCAGGGCTACTTAGTAGGTCAGATAGACCCCAGGCTGTCACAAGGGTCAACCTCACTCTCTTCAGGACAGCTGGACAATAATTAATGGATTATGTGACCATGGATGTTACTGCAGAACAAGGCAAGTTGGCCCACTCTGGCATTGGACGATATTATATGATAGGATTTATCATGACAGTTTAAAGGGGAATGACAAGAATCATGTAATGTCCAACAGTATTCATGCTATCTGATTCACGTTCTAGACACTTTTTGATAGCGGTATAAAATATTTGATATGTCATTCAGTTATGTCAGAATATTCTTTGTTATTTACATTTCGCTAAATGGTTACTGGTCGTAATATTTTTTTTATGTCTTTGAAACGATAAATTGTGATCCTTTATTGAAAAAAGCTGGGAAGTGGGGGCGTAATGATGCTCCATGTGATTTCAACATGTCTTTAGTGGAGGGTTTTATTTTGGGGAATTCTGACAGTTACGCCATCCACACAAACGGTGTTGTTTGGTTGGCAGAGGGAGCTAGCAACACAGTTTGTGGCAGCGGGCTCGGAGAAAGAGAAGCTAGCAAATAAAGGGAGTATGCCTCAGCGAGCTGTTGGAAATGCCTCTATAAATAACTAGTGGATTATCTGGCTCCCAGAAACACTTTAGTCTAGCCCAGCTTGCAGCTTTCACACAAATTGTGTCGGTTGGGGGAGTCAAGTTCATACTTCGGGGGAAAATATTTGTTTTGGAAAGGATCTAAGGAAGAAACAAGACATTTTCCAAAATTTACGAACTTTCCTCATATGTGGTGTGCTTGGCTATTGAATTTTCATAAATAGTTCCGAGATATCGATCAGATTGATTTCGACTTAAACTGCATTGTTTGAATTAAGTTTAGCTGTGAATTGATGAAATTGCTAATCTAATTTGTGAAGAGTTTTATCTGTTAAGATTTGGCCGTGGGTGTTAACAATTGTCATGGGATGACGATGTCTTGAGGAAGTGTTTTTGTTTGTGTTTTTTATTGTTCCAAATCCAGTTAGACATAGCAGTAATTCCCTGCTGCGTTGTGATAATGATTTCTGTTTCACCTTTGTTGCTGGGCAATGTTTTATGTCAATGTTGAAGGAAAGAGTCTTAAGTCCTGAAATACCTATGTGAAGATATTTTTCCATATCTCTGCTCTGAAAAATGTTATTTTGGCCCTTTAAAGTACTATATTATTTCATATTCATTGGAAAATACAACAATGAAATATTTCATCATTGATCTTCGTGTTCTGTTCTCCTGACCGATTGAGATGAACTATGGCTATTAAACTAAACATGTTTTTAATTATTCATCAACATGTACTTAATCTTAATTACAATCATGAATACCATCCAAAAATACTGTCATAGTGCTGGAATAGTGCCGAGTGCGGCGTTAAACAACGAACAAGCCATCCAAAATGATGCTATATTCTGATCATTTTGAAAACACATATCCCATGAGGCACAGAGATAGAATAAGTAAGGATGGTGTTTGTCACTGAGATCAATTCTTGCAGTTAGATTTAATTAACGTCTGTGTTCTGTGGTGTGGTTGATCTTGTTGCTATTGACGAGTGATCAACATTTGATGGCATCTGTGACAGGAAGATGACGTGTTGTCAGTTGACACTCAGCCAGCCTAAAAGCTCGCAAATTGTGCTTATCAACCACAAGGATCAAATACTATAAATTATTCATTATTTGGTTTTCTTCAGTACGTAGAACGATCAATTGGTTCTTTTGTTCATCATTACTAACGATTGTGTGGTATGAGGTCTACATTCGAAAGTGGGTAAATGTTTCAGTACTTTTTGCCTTTCAGATCTTCGTATGTATGTGGTATTTAGTCCTTTAGGAACTGGTATGGGCGTTTATTACATATTAACCTTTTGTTTAGGTGAGATGAAGTGTGGCATGATCTTCATGTTATGTGTTCAACTTGGAATATTGTGCTTGCATGGCTTCACTATCAGATTTCAAACAAGGATTCTTTCCAGTTGTATTTTGTTGAGAGAGTCAGGTAGCTGCCTGGGCTAAGTGTCGGTTTGTCGTGCCGAAGGCTGGTTCAAAACCACACATGGGTCTTTCTATGATTTGAAGTTGTGGTATTGTGTAGAGGTAGTGGGGTAGGCTACTGGTTAAACCGAGTTTAATTCCACACTGGAGATCCTGCAGTTCCTTGACACTGGAATAATTGAAGGCTGAAACAGTTGCCTTTTTGTGAGTTCAATTTGTATTTTGAAGACGTGGAGGGGTATCCTACTTATTAAAACTTTGGCTTATCACGCCGAAGGCTGAGTTCAATTCTCCACATTCCCTACTCTTGATTCAAGCCCAAATCACACACTCATTGTTACTTTGTGGCAGACGTAGTTGTTGTTTTTTAGCTCAGGTTGTATTTTTATTTACAGTCAAATCCGAATTTACTGTCAATATTTACCATGAAATATGCCACCCTGGGTTCAGGATATGTGGTTGTAGTCAGACAAGTTCAGATGAGGCTTCCTGACAACTGGATGTTCTTGGGGTGAAAGTAAGAGGATGGTTCAGGTGTATTACCGAAAACACAAGTGTGTTACTTTACGTAATGAAACTGTCACGTTGCCTAATGTTTGCTTCCCACTGCTCGGGTTAACGCAGATAGGTGTGTAAAATAAACATGTCAGACAATGACTGACTCCCGTTGTGTCAACATTACTGATTGATGATGGTTTTCTTGGAAGCAAGACAGTCCTCAACTTACTTCACACTGTGGAATTATCTCTTTCTCTCTGTCTCTCTGTCTGCCTGTCTCTCTCTCTCTGTCTCTATCTTTTATCTATCTGATAGTATTTTAGTTTCTCTACTTGTATTTCCTTCCTTCTTCTTTTTCTTCCTCTTCCTCCTTACAATCAATCAATCAATCAATATCTCTCTCTCTCTCGATCACTCACTCACTCACTCACTCACTCACTCACTCACTCACTCACTCACTCACTCCACTCACTCACTCACTCACTCACTCCACTCACTCACTCACTCACTCACTCACTCACTCACTCCACTCACTCACTCACTCACTCACTCACTCACTCACTCCACTCACTCACTCACTCACTCACTCCACTCACTCCACTCACTCCACTCACTCACTCACTCACTCCACTCACTCACTCACTCACTCACTCCACTCACTCACTCACTCACTCACTCACTCACTCACTCACTCACTCACTCACTCCACTCACTCACTCACTCCACTCACTCACTCACTCACTCCACTCACTCACTCACTCACTCACTCACTCACTCACTCACTCACTCACTCCACTCACTCACTCACTCACTCACTCACTCACTCACTCACTCACTCACTCACTCACTCACTCACTCACTCACTCCACTCACTCACTCACTCACTCACTCACTCACTCACTCACTCCACTCACTCACTCACTCACTCACTCCACTCACTCCACTCACTCCACTCACTCACTCACTCACTCCACTCACTCACTCACTCACTCACTCACTCCACTCACTCACTCACTCACTCACTCACTCCACTCACTCACTCACTCCACTCACTCACTCACTCCACTCACTCACTCACTCACTCCACTCACTCACTCACTCACTCACTCACTCACTCACTCACTCACTCACTCACTCACTCACTCACTCACTCACTCACTCACTCACTCACTCACTCACTCACTCACTCTTACTCTTACTCTTACTCAGTTGTGTGACCAAGGAAGATGATATTCATATCAATAACTCATGAGAAAAGAGCTACATCCACTGGACACATTGTGTGTGTTTTTCTGAGAGTTTATTGAACAAATTTGAATGGAGCAGTACCTCCAGGCAGAGCACATGAGTTATGTTAAATATGGCATCATTAGTATTTCAAGTATTTGTGGCTGAGATGTTCTTAACATTGATAGATTATAGTATTGGGTGTTCTCAAAGAAAATGACACAGTTGACTTGTTTAAGACATGGGAAGTGTGGACCCTAATCTTCAAATGATTGTAAGCCTTGCGATCGTGAATACCGCCACTAGCAGCAATGGGTATGTTTTGTCCGTTTTATGATGGATGGTGGTTCCGATGGCAAGAAATGAATGATGGATCGATTTGTGTTTTTTCAGCCGTTTTCAAGACTGTATTGAATTTAGCTGTGATTTTAGTGCTGTCTGTCTTAGAGGAGGGCCATGGGATGTGTCCGTATCACATGTATTTGTGCAGTCTTTGTTGTCATCTTTAGATGGGGAGAGCCATCTGGGACAGCCAAGTTCTTGGAGTTTATTTATGAGAACCTGTCACTGAAGACAAGATTTAGGGGCTGGAATTGGAAAGTGCTCATGAAAATGTCTGTGTCTGTGGAATTATTGGTCTATTGGGATGGTCAGTGAAGTGAGTGAGTGAGTGGTGATTTTGTCTGGATCAGACAAACCAACACAATGTTGGGAATCTGCTGGCATGATTTTGAGTTCTTTGCTCAGATTGAACAAATGTTTCAGAAGTTCTTAAATGTTTTATGGTGACCACTGTTCACACTTAACGTTCCAATCAAGGAAGTCAAAGAACAGATTCAAAGAGAAACTATGAAAGAATCTTTAACTTATTGTGAGTAATATATATGGAATTTACAAGTCATTTTTTGTAACTCCAGTTTGTATTTGAAATTAAATAACATTTTATATAAAATAACCATGAACGTTGTTGGAAGTGATAAGGGTTGGCCTGATTTAGTATGAGGATGAAGCTTAAGTTATCCTACACTACTTGTGCCTGATTTATTAGATGTGTTCCCTGTCTATATGTGTCATTCATGCTTTGTAAAGTCGTGTGGATATCATAAACATATAAGGGGCTGTGGATAGTCTGGTGGTGAAGGTGTTCGCTAGTTTCATGACAGGGGTTTGATTCCCACTTCTAATGTATGAAGCCCATCCTTGTGTTACATGCTCTGATGGGGCTGGAATAGTGCTAAAAGTGGCGTTAAACTTCACTCACTCACTCACTCACTCACTCACTCACTCACTCACTCACTCACTCACTCACTCACTCACTCCATCGAGACTAAAAAACATTGCAGTGCATCTGTTCCAGTCTTAAAAATGTATTATTATCATTATTATTATTATTATTATTATTATTATTATTATTATTATTATTATTATTACACAAACCAATGTTTTAAATGAACAACAGATAGCTCTTAATTCTAATAAAGAAGTTGTTCATCCATAAATTCTTATCCTTACTTAACAGATATGTGATCGTTTGCATGTAGTGTTATAAGGAAACGTGTCAGTACGTTGTGCATCTTCAAAGCTTTGTTGTATGCTGCTAATCGACAGTGTGTGGTCACTGATTGGTGCTTATGCAGAGCTCGAAAAATCCACTCGTCCTCTCGTCTTGACGAGTGGCAGCATGTGCGGGGTGAGAAAGAAGTGAACTAACACTCGTCCTACTGGGCGAGTACATATTTAAATCCTATAAAATCATCTCCAATCGTTTTCAAAACAATATGGAGGATAACTTCCAACCTGAAATACATTGTCACATCTCGTAATTCTTAGTAATAATAATGAACTATGTATCGCTTATATCATACATAGACGGTATACTTGGCAACTGTCTGTCTGCTGAAGGAATGAATAGAAAGTGAGTTTGCTCAAACTAGTTTTTAAAGGGAGGTATTTAATTTTGTTATTTTTGTTGTAAGTGACTCGTTACCGACGCTTAAATGTCAAAGTGAAAATGAATGATTTTGTGAGGGAAATGGTTGATTTTAACAAAGTTTTTAATTGGGGATAGTGGGGTTGACGAGAAAAAACATGATTTGATTAACAAATAGGCTGAAAAAAGGAAATTTTGTCAAAAGCAGTATGACTGTATAAAAACTGTGCAAGGCGCATGGTTGGGCTAGTTTGCATGGGCAGAGATGAACATACATGGCAGTGACTGTGAATTATTTTGTACTGTCTGTTGTAAATATCCCCAACTCAAATGTTGATTACAGAAAATAATAATAATAACTGAAAACATAAAACTCTATAAAATTTAAAAGGGCAAGTGAAAATTTGGCAGGACGAGTACAAAATAATATCTACTTGCCCTATAGGACAAGTTGGGTTTAAGAAATGTTTCGAGCACTGTTATGGATGACACTTTCTAGATTGTATCAGCTGTATACAGCTCCTGTGTGACACATTGACAGTGTGTCATCACTGATTAGTGCTTATACGTAACACTGTATAGAGTGTGTCAGCTGTGTACAATGTGCAAACTTGATACTGATGCCACTTTATAGACTGTATCACAGATCCAGGGCGCAAATGTTCCCTGTTCCGCCTGACTAACCTCCACATTTCCACCTGAATCCGTTACAGATCACTTGCGCCATTGTATCGCCGCATGTAAACAACCGTTGTTACCAAGCTAACTAGATCAAATCTCAATCAGGAAATTTGATATTGTAGCTTTATGCTGTGCGGCCATTATTGTAAACACTGTAGGTCTATTTACTGATTGTCTTCAGGTGTTTGTTTGGGTAATAGGCTGTCCTGTTCAGCCTGGACTGAAAGCCATGTACAATAATGCTACAGATTTGATTTGATTGAATCTATTCGGCCCTGGTTTTACCACTGTTCGGGTTAATGTTTGGTGTTGAACTAGGGTTACTGTGCAGGAAACTAGACTAGGGCCAATTGGAAGTCTTAGCTAATTTGATTCAGGTCATTCAACATTCACTTTGTTTGACTGTAAACTTAAACTATGATGTATACTACTAAAAAAAAAGTTAAGGAACACCGATTCTTTCATTTTACTATTAATCTGTCATGCCACCACAAATTAACTGCAATAACCTGAAGGAATCAGGTGTTCTTTAACTTCTTTTGAGTAGTATATTATCAATCCTGCAGTTGTATGTAAGGACCATTTTTTTACAAAACATTCTAGACATCCTTAAAAAACATTAAGTTATTTGACTACTGCTTCTACAGGAAAAAATTGTGTTTTTTAAAGTAGTGATTGACAAATGATCTGTATGTAACAAAAATCCCTGCCCTCAGGAAACTAAATGGTGGCTCCCTCACCCAAAATAAACAAATATGAGATGTCATTTTGACACAAGTCACAATTTACATCCCCATTAAGTCTCAGGACATTTGTATATTTGTTAGGCACTCTCTTTCATCCATGATGTGGTTGCTCCAAGCCCACATAATGACATAATTATAATAAAATCAAGTGTATTTGTGAAAGAGATGAGTTTTGAGCTTTGATTGGAATACAGAAAGAGAAGGAGATTTCTTGAGTTCAATAGGGACAGAGTTCCACAGAGAAGGACCACAGTATGTGAAAGATCTTTGTCCAGAGGCCTTGACACTGATTTGCAACAGAGAGATTAAGTGCTTCTGGGCTTCACAAAAGAGCAGAACATCTGATTTGTATCACGTTAGAATTTCCTCCTATTGTAACATGGCACATCGTGATAGACCTGAAATAGTGTATAGAGGGATGATAAACCTCACTCACCATTCACTGTTGATTCTTAGTGTCAATCTTGAAAAGCCTTGAAAATCACCAAATAGCTTTGAGAGCCTTGAATTTGTACAAATTAACAGACTAAAGTTAATAATCCAACTAAAAGAAACATTGAACACCTTGAATATTAGTGTTCCATATCTGTATGAACCTGTAGCACAAAAGACCTTGGTTTGACTCCTAATATATACGTCTCAAAAGAATTACGGTAAAGAACATCCGATTCTTTCATATAACTACAGTTATTCTGTCATGTAGGTATTCTGCCCTGTCATACAGATTAACTATCGTAATGTGAGAGAATTAGGTGTTCTTTTGGTGCTTTTGAGTCGTATACATCCACAGCATCCATCATGGTTTGCTTTGAATGTTTGTAAAAGCACCGTGAAAAGTACCTTCATTTCGTCTCTTGTTGCATGCATCTGTTTATAGGGGTGACTATTGGTCTGGAAATCACTATTGCGATAACTATTGATATTGAAAGAAACTATTGTGATAACTATTGATATTGCAAGCAACTATTGCGATAAATATCGATAGTTTTAAGGGTATCATTTTAGATGGATTTTATAGTTGAATTAAACCTTGGAACTGAAGTTTCCTTTGAATGTGACCATGACAACAAATGAAAAGTATGACTGAGATATGACTGAATTGTTTTTTCTTAACCCTAATAATTTAAGAAAAAGAAGCTTCCACATTACCATGCGTAAATTACTACCACTCCTAATCAAAAGAAAAACAAATTTGAACAGTATTGCATGTATTTTATTGAAACTGTAAATCTATGGTAAATACATTCGAAATTATTGATATTCCTAACTGAAATAGATACTATTGATCGGAAACTGATTTAACAATCGATTTATTGACTTTAAGTGCTTACCAATAGCAATATATCGATATTTGGATTTATCGTGACACCCCTATATGTTGATCACCATGGGATCACATCTTACCCATGATGATCATGACAGGGCTGATGGGTTGAGGTCGTTTAAGGCAACGCAGTTCTATGTCCAGAGTTACCTCCCTTGGGCACGCCAGAAACCCATGATTGTGGGTTCGAATCCCGGTTTGCCCCGATTATGTTTCTTGGTATGTCATCACCATACCCATGCTCTGGTTTTTGGTAAAGTGGTAAACGTCTGAGAACTGCATCACTTGACTTTCCTCCCAAATTGAGGTGACATGCCGTGATACAAATGGAATACTGTTAAAAACTGTGTTAACCCAACTCGCTCACTCACTCATCATAACGGCATTTGAATGAACATTTGAACAGTAATTTGCAAATTTAAAGTAATGCCTATATTTTTTACCATTTCATAGGTATGAGTTACTGTTGAAGATACAGAAATACATACACTTGAAATGACTTTCAAAGTAAAGGTCAATAGGGGAAGACAAAGTATGTGGCCTTTAAAATTGTTTTTGTATATAGTTAAATGCGTAGACACATTTTCAGATATATAAAGCTTGAAATATCATATTATTCCTCATAATATTTTATAAATAGCGAAGTTCTGCCACATGATTGATGTTTTTGTGATGGTATTTCAGGATTTAGAAGAGGTGGTGGTTGAGAAGGCGAGTGTTGTGTACGATGATGTGTTGACCAGACTTCTGAGGTACTCGCTCGATGACAACAACATATTGTAAGTATAAAAAAGGAATTAGTGCTTGTGATTCAGATGTCATTATTTCAGGGAAACCGCCTCCGTGGTCTAGTGGGAGAGTGGAAGGTCAGGGGTACTTGTTGTAACCCTGCCTGGCGCTTGGCATTAAGGGGTTGAAACAAGGACTGGTAAGTTAAAACACAGTATACAGTGTCTGAGATGGGTATTTATGTTAAACTGTGGCATGCTATCTCATTGGGCTAGCACTATAAGTCGGTATTAGTCCAGACTAATACAAGCAGCTACATACACACATGCATGTATGTTGCTATATAAGTGTAATAATCTTGGACGCGATGTTAAACCCCATTTCACCTAACCTCACCATTATTTCAGGGAAGACTTTGCGAAAGAGCTATGTGCAGATGTAAAAATTATTTTCCTCAAGTAAATTTGCAAGGTAATAGTTACCGGTAGTATGAAGAGTCGAATCTGGGACAGATTTTGGCAAGAATTAGTCAGCAATGTCTTTGTTACTATGAAGAGATTCTGGTTTCTGTGGCAACTGACTGTAGAATGCCCACTTGAACATGTATTCATTCACCAGCTTACTTATGAAGGTTCATTGATATGTTCTGAGCCTCACATAGAAGGAACTGCGTAACAGTAACATCTTTTGTTGTGAACATTCCACGTGTCATAGAGGTATATCCACAAAAACTTGTCAATTCAGCAAATAATTTCACTGTGACAAGTCAGTAAAATAAGCAGGGTCTTTGTGCGATCTTTGGAAAATGGACAAACCTGAGGAACGTGCAGTGAACAAGTACTTGCAAAAGACTTAACACCAAACACCTTTCGCAGACTTTGTTGATCCATGTCATCCTATCCCCGGTTGTGTCAATCACTGGATTGTCTGGTCCAGACTTATTTACAGACCACCGTCATATAAATGGAATATTGCTGAGTGCAGCATTAAACAACAAACAAAACCCACTCACTCACTTGCCCACCCAGACACTCGATCACTCGATCACTCACTCACTCACTCACTCACTCACACTCACACACTCACTCACTCACTCACTCACTAACACGCCTAATGCTGCCGACAATGCATGATGCTCGAGATAGTGGAGGGGTTCTCACATTTCCTAGGTCTACCACTGGGGTATTTGTACAGAAAGGTAGAGTGCAACCAGGTCAGACAGAGTATCTTAAATCCACATCACCCCCCTCCTCACACCATGTTCAAAGTTAAAAACAAGTCAGTGGGTCCTTTTAACTTCAAAGTTATTGTTATATAATCTAAGGTGTCCTAAAATTGAAAGTAGCTGCAAACCTCTCATGATCCCCCTTGAATTTGAAATTTCATAATACTGCATCACACATATGCAAATTGTAAGGTATTTCATTGGGTATCAGAATGACAGGAGCCAATCAGAACGTGCTTTACTTCGGAGGAAGCCCCTGTAGAGAGGATGTTATCACACTTGCAGATACAAGCCAGGATTACAATGATGGATCGGTCTGTGTTTGCCTTGTTTACAAGATGCCTCTATTTTAGAATATTTGTGTTAACAATTTTCGCTCATACATTTTCTGCTGTCAAATTGTATTTGGTGCTGAGTTTATCATCCAGGTTCATCAGTACATGTGCATTATTTTTCTGTGTTCCTTCATATTTTGTTGTTACAATAAGGAAAACAACTCATATTTCTTACGTAAACGTAAACCCCTATTATATCAATGCCTAAAATCTTTTTTTCGTCTGTCATCACACTATAAAATCTTAGATTTTTTTTCAACAGAAGTCCTCTTCAATGTCAGTTATCCATAATAAGTTGTGCAAGTAATAGTATTTTAATGCCTTGGCCTCTTGCGCATGCGCGAGGCAGGGAAAACTTCGCCTCTTTCCTGCATCCGCCATCCCAGATGCAGAATATTGGGAAGGTGGGTGGCATTATTCCTGATGTCATTGAGATGGTATTCTTTGAATTATTCATAATAATAACTATTGTTCGATGAGGTTCTGCTGATAAGATATTTAGGCAGACGTTGAAAATGTTCACCTGACTTTCAACATTGGACGTTCTTCAGAGTCACTTTCTAGATTATCCAGTATATATCTCCAATCTATTTTGATACATGCCTGGACCCAATCGCCACCATAGCTTCGTTTTGGAAGTGACATCTCAACCTCAATGTTCATATCTTTACTTAGTGCAGAATGTCTTTCACTCATCAGCGAACATGATTGGAAAACTACTTTTAGATTTGTGTCATTGGACTTCGGCTCAGTTACTCATGCATTATACCCGACACCTATCTGCCATTTTTGTTTAATGTTACTAATAAAGCCGCATGCGAAGCATCACTATTTTGAAAAAAGGGCAATAAAGCTCAAAATAAGCCGACAAACTACCCAAGTTGTATTTGTATAATTGAGTATAATTACACGTTGAAATTGAAAGCAATGCATAAACGTAGAAAATTTGACACCAACATCGAAAAAGTAATCGAAAATAGAAGTTCCAAATTCGCGTGCAACAAGCTCATCACTGACATCCCTTGAAGACACATTTTAGCGAAATGTATTTTGTATCTACTTTTGTAATTAAACATTGCATTTACTTACGAAAGCATTTAATTCAAGCTGTTGGGTGGGGGGCAAGCCCCCCATCCCGTCTATTATTTTAGCAAGGCGACAACAAAAATGGTGTCAGAAAAATATGGAAACTGTCACTAAGAAATGAGCTCATGCACATCCCTTACCAAAATGGCAAAAGGTGTCTGGTAATCTGCTTTCTTTCCGAATGGAGGTTTGATACACTGGACAATTGAGTGATGAATGAGCCAACGCCTCATATTTCCCCAAAAGTTAAATGATTTGAAAAATAATTGAGTTAGGTAAAGTAATATTGTCAGTCTGTGACTTTGGCCACTAGTCCAAAGCACAAGTATGTTAGAAATGCTCTAGGCCACAGTAAGCTCATCTGAGATAATCATTTGAGAATGATTGTAAGAGGCAACTCCTGGCTGGTATTTGGCACATAATGTATTGTTATGAATTCATTATAATGTTATGAAAATGCCACCAATGTTACAGAATTGTGAAGGCGTGTTAGGGTTTTAATGAAGCAGGGAGATGAAGCATGGAAGATTCCTATGAAACCCACTGTTTCTCTCTGTCCGTCAACAATGCTCATCGGCTTTCTTGATCATGGAGGAAGCTCACCTTTCATTGCCTAACTGATGTGGCTTAAAAAAGATTTATTTTGTATAATCGTATTGTTTTGATCCATATGTCATGTCAAAAAAATGCCTTGCCGAATACAGTTATGCACCGCAGATTAAAATTCAACTTAAAATTATAGTAATTCATCTCATTTGAAAAGTTTCGGAAAAAGAGGATTGAAATGTTGCTTGTGAACCAATGCCAGTTTAGGGGAGTGAATCAAATTCTTATTCCGCAAGTAAATTGGAATGCAGCTTGTTAATTATATGCTGTGAAAACGTGATCATTATTCTTAAACATAGACACAAGCAGAGGCTCAGTGATAAAATGGTTTTGAAGTATCCCTTTACTGAATTTCGATTCCAACCAGTTGAAAAAAAAACGCTCCTTGATTTAAATCTGAAATTTCTAGCCTGCACATTCCCGAAGGTTGAAAGCGGCAGTGTATAGAGAAGACACATAGGATTTGTCTACAACAAATTCCAGGAATCATTCTGACCGATTCCAAAATTATTCTGATTTGAATCTGCAGAATTTGAAAGAAATAGGAGCGTTATTCCCCAAAGTTAGGACAAGCAGTGTTGATGGACGAGGAAGGGCTCTGGAGGCTGGCTATACTGCCGGTAATCTAATCATGTTCGTATTTGTGGGGGAATCGATGGCACACAAGCAAAAAGTATTTAATATGGCGAGGACGGTTTCGTAATCAGCGTCTCATTTGCTTAAGTCTTGGAGAGCTGGAGCGCGGGTGGAAATGTCACCATTGTTCAAGCAGTAGAAGTGTGTGGGATGTACTGGAGAATAAGGCAGAATAATTGGAGCCCGTCAGGCGATTTTAGACATTGTATTCTCTTTTATTTCATTATGCATATGCATGCTAATATGATAGATAACTGTCACAGGTGCTGTATGGATGTAATATTAGCTGTGGTTATTCTTGTTGATTTTGCTTAATTAACTAACAGACTGTTAATGGAATTGATATTTGATGTCAAAGTGTTTTGAATATTCTCGTGTTTATTTCATACATGTGATTCTTATACATGGGTTATCGGTGACAGTACGAAATAGCACTGCATGGGTCATACAGTACCATATAGCACTAGATGATACAGTACCATATAGCACTACATGGGTGATACAGTACCATATAGTACTACATGGGTGATACAGTACCATATAGCACTACATGAGTGAAACAGTACCATATAGCATTACATGGGTGATGCAGTACCATATAGCATTACATGGGTGATACAGTACCATAAAGCACTACACAGGTGATACAGTACCATATAGCACTACATGGGTGATACAGTACCATATAGCACTACATGAGTGAAACAGTACCATATAGCATTACATGGGTGATACAGTACCATATAGCACTACACAGGTGATGCAGTACCATAAAGCACTACACAGGTGATACAGTACCATATAGCACTACACAGGTGATGCAGTACCATATAGCACTACATGGGTGATACAGTACTGTATAGCATTACATGGGTGATACAGTACCATATAGCACTACACTGGTGATACAGTACCATATAGCACTACATGGGTGATACAGTACCATATAGCACTACACAGGTGATGCAGTACCATAAAGCACTACACAGGTGATGCAGTACCATATAGCACTACACAGGTGATGCAGTACCATATAGCACTACATGGGTGATACAGTACCATATAGCACTACATAGGTGATGCAGTACCATATAGCACTACACGGGTGATGCAGTACCATAAAGCACTACACAGGTGATACAGTACCATATAGCATTACATGGGTGATACAGTACCATATAGCATTACATGGGTGATACAGTACCATATAGCATTACATGGGTGGTACAGTACCATATAGAACTACACAGGTGATACAGTACCACTCAGCACTGTATGGGTGGTACAGTTACATATAGCAAATAAATGTTTACTCTCTTGATTTAATATTAATTTTTATAATATACACAGATAGTCATGATGTAGTTATGGTTGGCTTGATAAGGACCAGTGGGATTTTGATATCCTGAAATTTGGCGAAGTGAATTTCAGTTGTGGGCCCTTTACACACATGTGGGTGCAGTAAACCTTTCCGAGAATTATTCCTGCTTATGATCTGATAGAAAACCTAGCAGAAGCTGCCTAGTCAGTGTTGCTGTACTGTTGTGTGTCATGTTGGTACTCTGGGATTACAGCAGGCGCATGAGGGACAAAGATGTTTTTGCTGTTCACCTGTTAATTACTTTGGATGACCTTATGCTTTAGACTGAAGGTAAACATATTGAAATAGATAAATATTTTATCTTCCTACCTGAATTTACATAGTATTGTTGCCTGAAACAAGCCCTGTGCGCAGTGTATCATGTCGAATTAATCATCGAAGTAGTTGTGAATTTCCACCTAATATTTCTCCTACCTTTCCCTTTTCTTCCTCTTCCTCCTTTACTACCTTCCTTTTACTTCCTTCACTCCATCTTTACTTCCTCCTTCCGTTTCCAGAACATGCCAAGGATATGCCATTTCTTACACTGAATCAGCCCATGCAACTTCATTCCTTTTCCATTTCAGGATTTCCAATTTTGAAAGTTCCCTGTCCAAGTTGATCTCTGAGAAAGATGAAAAAGATGAAAATCACAACCTGCTGAAATCAGGAAGTCTTTCTGACAGCTCTCCAGAAGAAAAGGTGAGAGAAGACTTGAGTCTGTATTTCTGGGATCTTCATTGGGAGGATGATATTACAATTTAGGCTATACATTCATCTTTCAACAGGCCAAGTGGTAGAGCGTCTGCCCAGAAAGCAGAAGGTTGGTGGTTTGATCACCGACCACGTCATACCAAAATACATTACAAGATGGTACTTGTTGTTTCCCTGCCTCATTGGGGATGAAACAAGGAGTGGTTGGATTGGAGTCAGTTTTCTGTGTCTCATTGGCGAATCCATGCAGCATGATATCTTAATGGGCTAGCATTACAATACTGACTTGTGTATCACAATTGCCAGGATTGATGCTCATGATATCGATCACTTGATTATCTGGTCCAGAACTGATAATTTACAGACCACCCTCATATAGCTGGAATATTGCTGAGTGCGGCATAAGACTACAAATAAACAACTAACACATCAACCAGCCTTTTAAACTTGGTGTTGTGAGTGTGGCACTGTCTCTTGCACCAGTGTGTGTACACATAACAGTTGTTATTTGATTCCCACGTTGTGTACAATGTTTCAGCCCCATGTCTGGTGTCCCTGGCCGTTTATTGCTGAAATATTGTGACAGCAGCGTAAAAGCACACTTGTGCACTCATCCAATATACCACATGCAGGTGATGTACAAACTCCATCTTGTCAAGGGAGATAACCCAGTAGTCTTATTTGTCTCTAGCTTCGAGTGGTCAAGTGGGTGGTGGACGAGGCCTTTAGGAGGAAGGGGGAGGATTTAGAGGACTTTCTGAATGATCACTACACTCCAGATCAGCTGGTAAGTAATTTGCCTCTTTATAAGCAATGTAATCAAGTCGGTCTGTATCATTACAAAATAGGGATCCCAAGGAGATTCCAGGTTAGAGTTGGTCCGCAGCAACTATAGGGCTGGAAGGGGGAACTCGGGTTCTCAGGTCAGGTGGGTTCTGAGTAGGCCCCGTGTACCCACAGTACTACCCAGACCCGTGGTTAGTCACATGATATAGTGTTTAATGACAGTACCGATCAAACTCCATGGTTACACTACAAGTCGCTTAATGTTCTCATTTCTTTCTGATTTTGTATGCAAGATCAGATCGTTTTATGCGTGTATCTGAGTAGTTTTTTTACAGGGCTGTGAAACAATTCTCAATTCGACATTTTGTAGCCAACTTAAGACCTACAGCGGGTACCCTGGTGGGGTCGGGTACCTGTGTAATACATTTGGACTCTTCCCAGCCCTAGCAGCAACCTTTGTTGCTTGTTAAAGGTGACTATATGGTCGTTGTTGATAGTGTGTCATTGTACCCCAGTGGCTTGAATTGCTGCTCATGATATCAATCCCTGGTTTGTCTTGTCCAGTCTTATTTATTTAGAGTTTGCCGTGATAAAACTAGAATATTACTAAAGTGTAAGTTCTGGCAGTAGACTCAAACGTTTTGGCACGGACACTCAGTATCTAATGGCATGATTATGCTACTCAATTTTTGATAGGGACAATCAGATATGTCACTCTATTTAGATATACTCTTGACACATGGGAATCAGTTTTGTGTATCATCGCTTGGATGAGATCAAGCGATATCTACACTGTAGATATCGCTGCAATGAAATTACATCACAATGCTTTGCAGACCATTGTGACATCACTGGTTACCATGATGTCACAATCAAATGACATCACTAATGGCTCTGCTACTGAAGCTGTTTGCAGTACTTTTTACACTGAAGACACTGCTAAATACTGTCTACAAATTGAAAAAGTTGAAAGAATTATGTTGGATGATAAATAAAATCTCACCCTCGTGTCTTTTGATATCAAATATATCAACACTCGTTGATAAAAGTGGCAAAAATCCTCGTCAAGCCTCGGAATTTTTCCACTTTTATCAACTCGTGTTGATATATTTGATATCAAAAGACACTTGGGTGAGATTCTCTATTTATCATCCAAAACTGGCTACCATAGGAGATATCGCTTGGGTGAGATCAAGCGATATCTACACTGTAGATATCGCTGCAATGAAATTGCATCAAAATGCTTTGCAGACCATTGTGACGTCATTGGTTACGATGACGTCACAATCAAATGACATCACTAATGGCTCTGCTACTGAAGCTGTTAGCAGTACTTTTTACACTGAAGACACTGCTAATTACTGTCTACAAAATGAAAAAGTTGGAAGAATGATGTTGGATGATAAATAAAATCTCACCCTCGTGTCTTTTGATATCAAATATATCAACACTCGTTGATAAAAGTGGAAAATATCCTCGGCAAGCCTCAGAGTTTTCCCACTTTTATCAACTCGTGTTGATATATTTGATATCAAAAGACACCTTGGTGAGATTCTCTATATCCCTATTTTAGTGGAGTAGTATATACACTTGCATTGAGTTTTAATCTATTGTCCCTCGTCATGAAATAATTGCCCTGCGGAACACAACTGAAGCGACTTAGCCAGCTCCTGTCTCACTGACGGAGTATCTTAATAGGATAATGTATCAAACAATACAATGTGTCTACTTCCTGATGAGAAACAGGTTGTTTAGAAACACTGCAACCATAATTATGTGTATTTAGAATTGCACAAACTTGGGACATAAACTTTATATTCATTGTCAGTATTTGTTCTTAACTGATCTGGCATACGTCTAATCGATTATTCTTTCCTGTCCCTATTGATGATTGTCTGACTATTTGATCAATTGCTCCATCAGTAATCTTTTTATTTCCTATCAAACTTGTCGTAACATGAAAACAGATTCTGTAAAAAATGGTGCATCTAGTAAGGCATGGCCTGGAGTTGGGTGTCCATCTTCAGGTCATCTGTCTGATACAGTATTGACACCAGCTGTACGCTCTGAAAAGATGCTCTTAAAGGAGGCCTACTCCACAGTCTGGTACTTATTGCCAGGCCGGGTCTAGATCTTGTAATTGGTGCTTAATTGAAACATAAAGAATGAGTAATATTCAACTGCTGTATTGATATACAAGCTACAATTTGGGTCAGCTGGAATAGGGTGTTGAGCATCATCCTATCTGTGGGCTGGCCTGCCCAGGTGGCCAAGTTGTCTAAGGCTCTGCAATTCGCTGTGCAGAGTTGCATCCCTTGGGCATGCCAGAAACCCATGATCTTGGCTTTGAATCCAGGTTCGGCCTATTATGTTTCTAGATTTGACAGCACAGTGCTCGTGCTTTTCGGTTTCACCGAACTGGTAAATCTCTAAGACCTGAATAACTTTGGGCTTTCCTCCCACGTTAAGTGGTCACGTTGTGGAATAACTGAAGTACTGTTCTAAGGGCTATTAAACTCAACTCACTCACTCAGTCCCTATATTGTGCCTAGTGGAGTGGAGGGGCTTCAGACTATTTTAGCCTTTTAGTATTTACTCACATGTAATTGTTCTTCTTGGGTATGATTTTCTATGTGTATTCAAGATATTTTGTTTTGGGGGGACCCGTGAAGATCCAGGTTAGAAGAAGTCTTCAGCAACCCATGCTTGCCGAAAGAGGCGACTAGGCTTGTCATAAGAGGTGACAAATGGGTGATCAGGCTCGCTGACTTCGTTGATGCATGTCATCATATCCCAATTGCATAGATCGATGCTCATGACATCAGTCACTGGATTGTCTGGTCCAGACTTGATTATTTACAGACTGCTGTCATATAGCTGAAATATTGCAGAGTGTGGCGTTGAACAACAAACAAACAAACACTCTCTTGGTCCCAGTCTTATTATTTTTAAACCAATAAGTCAACATTTTTCAAAAAGATTTGGTATAATTCCGTTTCTGGTGACATGTAATTTACATCTGTTCATGAACTTATGCAAGTGTCTAATGTTGCATTTAACATCCCAAGCGTGAGATATGTCTATGTTAAAAGTCAAGAAGCAGCACTTTTGTGCATTATTCATTGCAGTTGAATTCATGTTTTAGTGATGCCCGCATTGGATCAGGGACTTCAGATCAGTCAGAAAATACAGAGACGCCTGTTGAGAAAGATGCATTGAGTACTTGCTCACAGTGTTATACAATAGGTTACATTAAGTACTTGTTCACAGTGTTATACAATAGGCTACATTGAGTACTTGCTCACAGTGTTATACAGTAGGTTACATTGAGTACTTGCTCACAGTGTTATACAATAGGCTACATTGAGTACTTGCTCAAAGTGTTATACAATAGGTTACATTGAGTACTTGCTCACAGTGTTATACAATAGGCTACATTAAGTACTTGTTCACAGTGTTATACAATAGGCTACATTGAGTACTTGCTCACAGTGTTATACAATAGGCTACATTGAGTACTTGCTCACAGTGTTATACAATAGGCTACATTGAGTACTTGCTCACAGTGTTATACAGTAGGTTACACTGAGTACTTGCTCAAAGTGTTTTACAATAGGCTACATTGAGTACTTGCTCACAGTGTTATACAGTAGGTTACATTGAGTACTTGCTCACAGTGTTATACAATAGGTTACATTGAGAACGTTCTCAAAGTGTTGTTATACAATAGGCTACATTGAGTACTTGCTCACAGTGTTATACAATAGGCTACATTGAGTACTTGCTCACAGTGTTATACAGTAGGTTACATTGAGTACTTGCTCACAGTGTTATACAATAGGTTACATTGAGTACTTGCTCACAGTGTTATACAATAGGTTACATTGAGTACTTGCTCACAGTGTTATACAATAGGCTACATTGAGTACTTGCTCACAGTGTTATACAGTAGGTTACATTGAGTACTTGCTCACAGTGTTATACAATAGGTTACATTGAGAACGTTCTCAAAGTGTTGTTATACAATAGGCTACATTGAGTACTTGCTCACAGTGTTATACAATAGGCTACATTGAGTACTTGCTCACAGTGTTATACAGTAGGTTACACTGAGTACTTGCTCAAAGTGTTATACAATAGGCTACATTGAGTACTTGCTCACAGTGTTATACAGTAGGTTACATTGAGTACTTGCTCACAGTGTTATACAATAGGTTACATTGAGAACGTTCTCAAAGTGTTGTTATATAATAGGCTACATTGAGTACTTGCTCACAGTGTTGTTATACAATAGGCTACATTGAGTACTTGCTCACAGTGTTATACAATAGGTTACATTGAGTACTTGCTCATAGTCTTGTAACTTAGGCAAGTAACTTAACATTATTTGGTAATGGTTTGTTTTGTGCCGTTTGTACAGATACATGTCTTGTCAAGAGTACAGATATGAACTTACAAACTGTTTCAGTAATTCACCCCTGTTTCCTCAGACTATTGTGTAAAATATCTTTAGGGAGTGTTTAAAAAGTCTTATCAATGAGGACAAAGTTCATAGTTATGTGCTTGCTAAGGTGTTGAATATCATTATTTTTTCAATAGTCTCACCTAGTAATTACTGTGTAACAATACGGAGATATAGTACTGTTTCCCGATACAATACATTGATTTACATTCCCTGTATCACTATACATACCATACAATGCATTACAAGTTATATTGGTGTCAAAACATGTGAATTATGAAAGAATTTAAATGCTGAGCGAAAGGGTTGGCGATAAATGGCATAACATTCACAATGCCCTTTAAGCAACATGTTTCTGATCAATAGTATCCCTTCTTCGATCTCTGAATTCAAAAACAAATGACGTGTGAACCTATGAATCGTATCGTACCTATAGTACTGGGATATGTATCGTATCGTACCTATAGCATTGATCGTATCGTACCTATAGCATTGATCGTATCGTACCTATAGCATTGGGATATGTATCGTATCGTATT